CCTAGAAGTTTGTCTCAACGGGCGACGAGTCTCCCAGCTGTAGATGAGCAATTTAGCCAGTGCAGTACAACCACTAGCCTGGGGTCTTTAACGGGCATCACGTAGTATTGATACACGACCGCAGGCCAGTACGATGGGGAATAAGTACCATACCTCAAGGTGTGTTTCTGCACGTTCCATGGAAGTCGATCAATCCCGAAAGCTTGTGCCGAAGCGAGGAGCGTCTGCATCAACCCTCCCACGTATATATACCGAGAAGTCCAAAGCCTCCTGATAAATCGTCAGCAAGTAATGTAGGAGAGTGTAAGAGAGAGAACATGTACGCGCGCTTGTTATACTCTGTTTGCGAATGACGCGTTTTCCTCGAAATAATTGGTTCGCGTATCTACGAAAACAAGTCGCCGCCTTACCCACGTGGAGCGGAACTGTACGTGTTTCGTGGGCACCTGTTTAAGCGTAGTCGGCATGCCCTACAAAATTGGAACGTTTAACTGAGTTCTTTAGTTTTACATCAACGCTCATTCTCTACTTGAATGTAGCACTGGCGGTCTGATCCAGATGCCGAAGTTTCGGAACCAACTGTTATCTCATTCAAAAGTTATGTGATTTTTTAATGTTTTAAATGGAAAAAAAAGGTACCGGTTTCCGGTAACTGCACCGCGCCATTCAGTTAGATGTATTCGAGAGATCCGTGAGCCGTCATTTTCCTATATAGGATTTCGGAGAATCACGTAACATTTTAGTAAGGTAGAGGTTAGTTCAAAAGACTTCGACGTCCGGTTCAGACTACTAGTGCTAGAGTTTGGCGGAGAATGAGCGTTCGACAATGCCTAATTTATTTCTGCGCTAAAGACAAAAAACTGCAACTTTTTTTTGGACACCCTGTAAATTTTGCGCTATGTTGAATGCAAACATAATCAAAATAAAGCCAAGCCAATTAGTGTAAGAAAGTACCGGCTGTAAATTAAAAAAAAACAATATATTTTAAAACACACATTTTTATTCCTATTGTATTTTGCTAAACTATGTTAGTTCCCTTGTTTGTTTTGTTTGTTTTTTTGCGGCATGTATCTAATCCTGGAAAAACACCCAAATAATATTTTTCAAAACAAATCCGTATGGAATTAAAACAACAAAAGATCGATGCCTAAATAAATGCCGTAAATTCTTTTTTTTTTTTTTTTCATTCTGGTCAAGAGCTGTCCGAGGATAAGCTTTTTTTCAAACGATTTTAGTGACTGAAATTGTTCTTGTTTGATTTGAAATTAGGTCTACCATGTGAGGTTTAGAATAACTGTATATAAATCTTGCTCCATATATTTGTGTGGTATTCTCGTGACAATTAGTTAAAAAGGCTGCTATCTTCAATACAAAGTTAAGGCCCGTTCACACTCTTGCGACCTCTTAAACCTGGGTTCCTTAAAACTTCTTAAACCAGAGAACACACTGGCGCGATCTATTGGGAAGCAGTGTAAACTCGGCGGTCCGGCATATTTTTTTTTTTTTATTTCTCGCGCATTATCCTTTATTTCTTGGCTCGAAAAACTTTTGGCAATGTTATAAACGAGTCTTTCTATGGGTATTACGCACATTTGACCTCGGAAATCCCGCAAAACCTTCGCTCTTGTCAAATGCAGTTCCAGGGTCACCGCATAGATGGCGCGACAATGCCAGTGTGTTCCCTCATTCTAAAAACATTTAAGAAGTTTTAAGAGATCTCGTCTCTCTCAGTCGTACTCGGTCGCAAGAGTGTGAACGGGCCTTTACTGTTGGGCTCAAGCACAGCGGATGCCTCATAGGATCTGACTTCCTCATAACGTATTACCTGCTCTATCTTTCTGAGACTCAGAAATAACCCCAAATCATCGCCGTAGGCAACTGAATCAACTGAATCACTTCGGTCGCCTCTAATCTCAGACCCTAATGAGCATATTCTTACAACTCTAAAATGATAGGCCCAAGCGCACCAAGCCACAAAATATTAGAACCTCTCCTCAAGGTAAGACGTGTAATAAACAAGGGAATCCTAGGTTATCGAGCGTGTGTAACCAGCGGATGGTACTCCAGATGAAACTTATTATGGACACGCAAGCAATCGTAAACTGAACTTTAACGAAAAATTAAAAAAAAAGTAAAATGGAAAGAGATATTAATTTAGGTGTTTTCTTAAGGATTCTCGTTTTTTGGTCAAAATATACATATTTTAGGTTCTTTTATTTCTTTCTATAAAGTAAATTTCAATACGCGCAAAAAGTTGCTCGTCGGTAATCTAATAATGTTGACTTATTTTCTAAAAAAAAAAAAAAAAAAAAAAAAAAGAAAAACATGGTCGTGTGGTTTTTTCACAATGGCGGACGCAGAAAAGGACGCGTAACCCTAATATCAACCGCGCATGCGCAATAGCAATTTGTTTCCTCGCGTGCTCAATAGATCGACTTTTAGGACCCTTGGTATATCTTTTTTTTTTTTTTTTTTTTTTGCATTGCCCAAACATCCGAGAACGCCGAGTGCGGAGCCACCACGTTTGTTGTTTGTTAATTTTTTCACCAACCCTAAATGGTTCATTTTGTTAGTTGCGGACGTTTGTACTTGTATCCTGAACCTTTATACCTTCTAGATTCTTTGTCTCCATCAATTGGTTCCGGACTCGTAGGTTTTTGTAACCTTATCGTCTGGTCGTCGCTTTGTGGTTTGTTGTTTCGCTTTCCACTTTTCGCTGGCTTGGTCGTCGGTGGCTACATAAAAAAAAAAGGGAAAAAGAAAGAAAGAACAAAACAGTTTCGTGAAAGTGCGCGCGCGCGGTGTTTGTCGTGGCGTGAAACGATGGTCACGGTTCGAAGACTGGAGACGTGACTGCAAGCCAATCGCGAGACCGCGAGATCCTAGCAACTATGGGTAGGTCGCGTTGGGAACGTCCGAGTCTCAGCCACGAGTCTGGCAACTCTGGCCAGGGGTTCGAGGACCGACTCCGGACGGTGCTGGTGGGAGCTGGTGTCTAGAGCACGCGTTCTTTTCTTTCCAGCCCTCTCTTTCTCTTTCTAAGCTTGTGGCCAGACATCACAACTGCGCTAAAATACTGTGTGCGTACGTTTTGTCCGTTGATTGCCCGCGATACTATTAGAGATTTTCGCGTCGCTTTATGAGTTTTCCAATAGTTTTACGCATACACTCCGGTGTCGTTTTGCTTGGCGCTGTGTTCCCTGTAGATTGAGAACATCGACGTGCTGGATGGTTTGGAGTCGACGCTTCGCCTCATCGAAACCCCCGACAATCGATGTGAGTACACTACACCCTTCGATATGCGTAAGTGTACATTATACGTGAAGGTTAAGGCTTGAGACATATATGGTGCATGCACTGCCGGTTTCCCTCTTGCCGCATTTATTATTAGTTGCCGAGAGTGCATTCCCGTTGTTTTTAGGCTTGTTTCGCACGGAGCGACATTACAGGTACATATTTGTAGGGACATCGATTTGAAATGTATAACAAGCGTCTTTTATTTATCAAACCGTTATCTTACCTCATATCAATTTCAGTCTGGTCTCTAAAAAGAAATAAGGAGGGAGGGTCTTATTGGAAGAAGCGACTAAAGCTTTAATAAACTGCCCGCCATGGGACAATAAAAAAAACACAAAAACAGACCACTTAAAAGGGCCCTGCAATGACTTTTTTTTTACTGGTTTTTAATTTGCACTGAATCTGAGCGCACTAAACGCAGTAAGTTAATGAAACTTTTATTTTCTCGAATTTCGCTTTATTTTAAAAGTATAGGCGAATTAAAATTACAAAAACAAGCAAAAAATAACCTCCTTCATGACGTCCTTGGTCGCTTGAGTGGCCGTGAACTAGAGGAGCTGTAGTGAGCTGAGCGAGCGCTCACGGCTCCCGCACTCCGTGTCGACGGTTCAAGAGGGCGCCACTAAAGCATGTTCTGGATAGGCTGTATGAAGCGGGCAACCAGAACGGCTGGCATTGCATTTGCTGCGCGATTAAACACTAATTCGGCATGACACTTCATTGGCCACAAACGACAACAAACACGGGGTAAAGATCAGTTCAGAACGAGAGCCACTTCGCGCTCCTTTACGGCCAAAAGGCCAAACCGCAAGCCAAGGCTGCTCGCCGAGGGCCTTCGGAACGCTCGGAATCGGTCAGATTCTCCAGTTCATACGACCGCAGCGCCGCCGCGTACATCCGGGACCTTTCTACGCTCGCCGCACGTTGGTGCCTGATCCCACTACACCTTTCTAGTGTGCGCCGCCTTTTCCACCGCTTGGTGGCGGGTATGTCGACGAGTCATTTCTTGTTTCCGTAATTTTTTAAACTGCATTCGTTTCTTTTCTGATCTAAGATACTGAACAAAAACTACTTTTATAAATAGTCGAAACGGTTCGCGCCACTTATATTTTGTATTTCGACTAAAAAGAAGCTTTTAGCGGCTCTGGCCAGTAGTAAGCCCAGGACCAAAGACGTCAAATATCGCGCTTTCGGCATCGCGGGTCGCCCCCGTAGGTGGAGGAGGTTTCCGCGTCGTCCGGATAAAATATGACGCAGTGATATTTAGTTGCTTTCTCCGTGCCCGCTGGCTTGCCCAAACCCCAAGAGACGTGGAAACCGCAAAAACGGTAGACGCATAAATATGATTGCAGGGCCCCTTTGACTTTAACATTAAAGTCTTTGATAAAATGCAGTAACTTCAGCGCGGCTTGTTTAACTATAGTCAGTATATCAGCAAAGCAAGTGTCTATAAGCAACCCGTCGACTTACTCAAAGGCACCGTTTCATCCCTTCAGGGCACCCATGTCCACCTCCGGCTATGAACGTCTTCAGCTCCACCGGAAGTCGGCCCAATAATGCAGTCCATCACAGTTCTTATCCGGTCAAACGGTCGTAGCAGTGTAGCGAGTCGGGGAACCGTGGTCTTAGTTCACATCTGCTGTTGGAACTTCCGGTTTCGCTGTTTCCGGTAGAATTGAGCGCAGCGACTCATAGACGTCTCTATGGCCACGTCGTCGGCGGAAGACCCACAAGAAGACGAGAGTGACCGCAATGGCTGCAGCGCCGGCGACGGCCATGACGACATGTGGGACGACTTCTGCAAGAACTTTGTGGCGTCGTCTTGTTCGTCGTCGACGTACAAGAAATGTTCTTGGCGGAGGCCTTTGCCCACCATCAAAGTTCCAAGTGGCGAAGAGGAGATCACAGACGCGGGCACGTCACGCGGAGCGAATGCCGACTCCGATGTCGTTTGGGTGAGTCAGCAGTTCTTTTTTAATGCGATAACATTTTAACGTTCACTAAAACCGAGAAATTGTGCGCATCTGTCTGTTGCCGCTAGTTAGTTTGATTTAGAGCGGGAAACCTGAGTTGGGTGTATATTTATACATCAATTCAATTTACCCGTCTAACTTAGCGGGGTAAACCTGAGTTGGTGTATAATTATACACCAATTGACTTAACCGCTAAATTTTGCGAGGAAACCTGACTTGGTCTATAATTATGTACCCATTCAATTTATCCGCCAACTTAGTGGGGAAACCTGAATTTGCGCTTATTTATACATCAATTCAATTTACCCGCTAAATTTCGCGGGGAAGCTTACATTGGTGCATAATTACACGCCAATTTAATTTACCTGTTAAACTTAGCGAGAAGCGTTTGGCCGCTAAATTCAACGAAAAAAAATATCCTGTATAAGTAATTACCAGTTCAGTTTAGCAAGAATTTGGTGCAAAAACGGTGCCCCGCTGGGCCAGACCGAGAGCGCCAATCTCGACAGGCCTTTGAACTTGAGGTGCAAAGCATCTCAAATGCTATCCCACTGCATCTTCTTTAGGCAGCAGTGAGAAAGAAGGCATAGCTTTATTTATTTTTTATTAATATTTGCGATTTGTTTATTGCTTTAGAAAGTAGACCTTCAACTTTTCGACAGTCCTTTCTTTAAACTTTATAGGATGCTTCAAACATCCAGTGATTGATAACGGCATACAACTTTTTTTTTTTTTTTTATCAGGAAGATAGGTTTCTTTTTTTTTTTTTCCCAGAAAGTAAAATTTTTCGCTGGTCGGTCGATCCTCTCGTGTTGCGTGTCGACGAAACATCTTTGTGAGGGGGAAGGAAAGCACTGGTCGATATTACGACGGTCGCATTGAGGTGTCTCACCTTTCAATCCACCCGAGACACCCTGTGTTCGAAAGATCAGGCCAGAATGCCATTCTGAAATTTCCCGACGAGCGAGAACACTTTCCTGTTGGTAAGGTATAGTTCTTATTTGCTGAAGCGGAAGTGAATGACGGCCAGCTTGGTTACCCTCTTTGTTATCTTAAGAGAGGGGGCGCGACAGCACCTATCTGTGTGAATTCTATAAGGAAATTTTTTTAACACTTACTCAAAGAGGGCTTTGACCAAAGATCTGAATGGTTAGATCATGTATTATGTTTTGTTAATTCTAAATATCGCCGCTAGTTATTCAATGAGTTCGAAAAGGCCTCACAAAATAATCATCTGAAGGCTGTAATAGATTTTCGCACAGCGTTGCGTGCTTCACTGTCAGCAGACCCCAGTGTAATAACCCCCCCCCCAAAAAAAAAAAAAGAAACAAAAAAACAGTACAGCAGTAGTAAGGGGAACGAACGCCAATTTCCTTAATGTTAGTGTTTACTCTGTTTTCTTTTCTAGCTTATATATTTTTCTGCTACGATACACTCTAAAAAAAAAGGGTATCACCATACACCCTTTTGTCCCATATAATACACCCCAAAACTTCATTTCGACGTACAGCGCCCTATAGTCGAACAGACGGCACGAAATTTTACCAGGGGCTTGATAACGGTGCGATATAACTTATTAAATTGCTAAAGTACGTATCAAAGACCAAAGAAAGAAAACACAAAGCTTTTGCAGTACGGCCAAGAAAACTCCGATAATCTTTTTTGTAGTCAATAATACGTTCATCAGCTATCTTAATAAGTTGTACCACACGGCTATTAAGCCCCTCGTAAACTTTGGGGACGCCTGTTCGATTATGGGGAGCTGTACGTCGAATTGAAGTTTTGGGGTGTATTATATGGGACATCGGGTGTAATAATACACCTTTTTTTCTCAGAGTGTAGGAAGGCACCAGAGGCATAGTGTTTCCATTTTTTCAGGGGAAGGGGAGTGGGAGTAATACTCCGGAAGCAAAAAAAGAAGAAATTGGTTCTTCAGTGAGCAGCTCTGAAGATTTTATTTCCACATGGTGAGCGCGTTCTTTATACACTGGGGCACATACATGATATACAAGTTCAAAAAATATATTTGTAACATTGAATAACAGCACACACCATCGAAGAAACAAGACAGCAAAAATGTTCAGTGATTGCCAAATCGCCGTTCTCTCAGATCTAATGATACGATGCAGCTTCTTACGTCATTACTTTTACCTTAATTAGCACTTTCACTCAGAAAATTATCAAACAAAACAAGAAAAAAAAATAACAATATTGACAGCCCCCATAAAAGGGACACGCAATTTCTATTTTTCATGACAGTACATATATATATATATATAGTAACAGAGAGAGACAGGGTATTTCACGTAACTTGAGCCAAGCTTTAGAAATATCTTGGTGCATTTTAGGAAGACGATGCTAAACCAATAAGTTTGTTTTATGTTTGAAGTCAGGTTTATTTTTCTCCAATTAAATTACAATTAATTAACTTTTCAAAGATTCAGTTGAGAGCAAAGGTTCCAATGACAAAGTTGTGTAACGTCCTCAGAAACAACCAGTTCAGTGTTTTTTTTTTTTTTTTATCAAGAAACCTTTACGCGGTTCGTTTTTTCGAGCTTGAAAAAAAGTGCCCGAATCACGAAAAAAAAAAAAAACACGAAAAACGCAAATTTTTAAACAGCGCCCAGTCAACAGTGTTCTATTCAGCATGCAGGCCTATACTTGTTTTCACCTCAAGAAAATAGGACGTTTCGCGCATTGTTCCTACGCCGGGCGAAGTAGTTCTTACAAGGTTTGGTTGCCAGAGAAAGAAGCGATGCTTTTGGCGTTTGAAACGCATATGTCTTGATACGATAACACATATTTGATGTAAAATGCACCTGTATATATCTTAATTCTCGACATAAAGGGTAGCTTTAGTAATGCTCCGCGAAGAGCCGGACTCTTTTTACTACAATTCTTGAGGTGAAAACTGGTATAGTTTATTCAAGCCCTGGCTGAAACCCCTGCAATACAAAATGCACGTGCGCAAGGTAACGTTTTTTTTATTTCTTTTTTTATTTTCATAATTTGCAAACTTTTTTTGAAGCCAATAAAAAAGTGTTAAGGCGTCTTTATAAAAACCATTGAATTGGACGCTACTGAGGACGCTCTACAACTTTGCCATTGGACTATTGGCTCTAGATTGAGTATTACAAAAGTTAATTATTAATTTTATTTAATTATTTAATTGGGCAAAATACAAAAACAAATAGCCCGACTTGCTCCAAACAATGAACAAACTTACTCGCTTGGTATCGTCTTTCTAAAATGCACTAAAATATTTTTATACCTTGGCACGATTTTGTTGGATTAATATACATATATATATATATTTAAATGCATGAATATAATTAGCAAAAAAACAAAAGTAAGCAAAGACATATCGAACTTTTGTGTAACATTTTACGTGCATAAAAAGTTGAAGAACAAAACGCAGTTTGACATGGAAGGTAAAATTGCCACACTTTACAATGGAGTTTTACACGCGCATTGAGAAAAGTCCAATATGAGCACAAACATTACAATTCTTTCTCATACTGCTTTATACATATAGATGAAAACAAATTACAGAAAGGCAAAGCGTCTACGTATTAGAAACATATGATAAATGAACCCACGGTTGAGAGTATAAAGTTAATGAATGAACAAACCTTTGGGGGTGAAAAATGAAAGCAGTTTACAACTCCTTGTAACGCCGAGTTGGAGCGCAGTTTTTGAGGAGGAGGATGGAAGGGTACTGAGGGGAGGGTATACCCCTCCTCCCTCCTCCTCACCTCGTCATCCTGCCTACTACACAGCCACGGGGACCACGGGGCCCGGTGAGGTCACGTGACCCCCTGAGGTGACGTGGCCCCCGTGAGGTCACGTGATATCACGTGACCTCGGGGGTGGAGGGTCACGTGACCTCAGGGGGGCCACGTGACAACAGGATTACGCCGACGTCAACGGCGACGCCGCTCAAGCCGGAAACGGCCGCCTAAGAGCTGCGCTCTAAAATATCCTTGAGAAGGTGCAAAAGATAGTCCCAGTTCGCAACATGAAACGCGTTTCCTCTAACAACTGTTCCCTTAATGAACTGATTTCTACAATGTATAGATCTACTAGGTAAGTAAGGTCCTTGTGGCACTAAAGCAAGGCGGTACGGTTTAGTCTAGCCTGTCTCATTGTAGAGCGTAGGTAAGTCTTAATTCTCCGGAGGCACGGGAAAGACCTTTCTGACGTGCAGGAAGGTACAGGAATTGTCAGTGCGATTCGGAGGAGCTCAACAATCTCTGAAAGAAGAACTCTCAGGGGTTCACCCTCTTTCCCGAAAGAACTTCTATTACGTCTTGAAATGTAACAAGGCTCGGGACACGTTGCTTTGCTATGTCCCTGTGAAGTTCGAGGAGGCCCAGATCAAGATCCCCTTTATAAAATTCACGCAGATAAATACTGCCGCTTTCTCCCGTCACAAACTTTTCGACTTGCGTTATGTGATTCCACATTTCTGGCGGAAACCGCGTTCGCAGTGATGCATGCACCGCGCCAAAAACTACATAAAATCGTTGCCGGTAAAAATTTTCCAGGAAATTAAAGTCATGTGCATGGAATCCTTCACTACAACGACGTGGCGCTTGCCTTTTCTTCAGAATGCTCGGATCCCCAACCTTAATTTCTTCCGCTTTAGGAGAGACATCGCTCCAAAAGCAAAAAAAAGTCGTGACAAAGTTGACCGATACTCTCTTTAACCGCCTTTACTGAGAGCTCTGCGTGGCTAAACTGTAAGCTTTTCTTCTGGAGAGCGGTATTCACGTTTTCCAATCTATCAAATACAAAGAGCATGAGCCTAAGCATAAAATATGCATCGAATATCTTGAATGTCTTTCCGTGCCCACTCGACTTGGCTCCAGTGTCATTTTCTTCATCTGATGAAAACGTGAAAAGATATTTGACTACTTTTTAGTAGTTACTGGAGAGAGACCGGAGTGAGGACGCTTTGAGCGTCCACCTGGTTTCACAGA